GGCGTCTCCCCGGGAGCCCCGGCGCAGCTCCTGCTCCAGCTGCTCCAGCTCCGCGGCGAAGTCCCGCCGCAGCGGCTCCAGGGCGCCGACGGCCTCCCTGCGCGCGATGGCCACGATGCAGCCGTCGTCCGCGGCGAGGTCCCCCACCTCGAGGAGCAAACCGCGGCATAGCATCAAGACGCCGAGACAAGGGCCACTCCACTGCGGCTCAGGAGGGGCTCTGGTGTTCGACCCGCTCCTCAGGTTTACATCGGGGGCCCTTTAGAGGGTGGCCGCGGAGCGCCGTGGCCAAAAAAGAGCGCGCTCGTTCCTCATGTAGCGCTCCTCGTGGTGGTACGGTGACTGAAAGCATACACGTTCGAGGTTCCGCGTGAAGTTCGGGGATCGGCGCTGGGCCCCCTCCCTGCCGCGCGGAGCGCGCCACGGGCAGCGCCCGAAGCACCTAGTGCCGCTGTTTCCTGGAGGGGGGCATGGCTCAGGAGGTGAAACACCAGAGACCTGGAATCGGCGATACATCGCCGATATATCAGCAACCCCGACAGCGAATCCACACGTTCCTGGGCGGGGTGGGGCCATCAGAACCCCCATCGATAATCCGTGGGCGATTGAGGGTCGATGCGTTCCCCCCTGCGCCTGTCCCCCCGATCGTTGCCCCTGAGGCAACCAGCTTCCGCCGCGAGTCCCGGAGCGACGAGTTCCCTGCTTCGTGCTCGAGGACGGTGCCTCCATCCGCCTTCCCCTCTGCCCCCGTTTGCCCTCCCCTTCCCCCCGCTCTTGGGTGGTGGGCCTGTTTTCAACCACCACCACCACCATCATAAGTTGGAGGGTGGTCCTCCTTCTCTTCCTCGTCCTCTTCCTCCGCCTCCTCCGCCTCCTCCTCCTCCTCCTCCTCCTCCTCCTCCTCCTCCTCCGACCCAATGGTGGTGCTGGTGGAACATCGGACCATCACTTGGGGGCTGTGTGTTCCCCCCCTCCGCGGCGCCCACCATCTTCCTCAGCTCGCGCCGGAGGACGTCCGCGACATCGCCCAGGTCCTGCCGCGTCACCGCGCCCCTCGGGGGGGCGGCCGCGGGCGCCTCGGCGGGCCTGGACCGCAGGCCCTCCTCCAGCGACCGCCGCCAGCCCCGGAGCTGCGCGTCCGCTGCCTCGTGGCGGCGCGTACGGGGAAGCGAGGGAGGACCATCCCGAAGGGACCCAGGGACGCACCCAAGTAAATAGGCACACGAACCCGACGATTCCCCAAATATGGGTAGACATCGTCTGGCTCTTCGCCTTCCCAACAGTGTCCCATAGTTTCGCATAGCTTCTTAGAATCGGACGAGTGTTTGCGCCTGTGTCTATTTTTCCCTCCTGACATCCGAAAAGAATGTGGCATCTAGAGTGGTCATGGGCGGCGAACACATCCAGATCCGCGCCCTCCTGGTCTGGCTTCCGGGGAGCGAGTCCTCGGAGAAACGCCCCCCGCAGCTGCGGGGTCGCGATCCCCCGCCCGGGAGGCCGCGAGGCCGGATACTTTTTTCGCCCACGGGATGGGCTCGGAGGCGTCTGGAGAGGCCACGTGGCAAACTCGAACACGCCCCCAGTGCCTTCTCGTGCCGCCCCACTCGGCACGCCCCCGACACGAATCCGCTCGGAGCCAGTCCCAGGGTCCCTCTTCAAAGCCGGTTCTATTCCGAGCCGCTGTTTGACAGTCATGGGGCCCGGCGAAGGCCCCCAGAGACCAAACATGGCAAAAATCTCCGGCCGTGGGTATTTCTTACAACGAAAGGAAACAGGGGACACCGACACCGCCACCCCCAGGGGTGCGTTCTGACTGGAACTTCGAAGGGAATCCAGCGGGGGCGACGAGGGCCTCACAGGAGGCCCGAAAAGGCGAAAGCGAGGCAAGGGCACCAGCATGCAGTATGGGTAGTCACCCGCAGGTGAACCAGATCACTGCAGGTCAGATTTCCGAGAAACCAGGCTGGAGCTCAGAATCTGAAGCTGCGTGCAGCCAGGTGAACCCCAGCGGGGGGGTTCGATACCCGGTACCCCCAGCGCCGATGGGTCCCGCAGAGGCACAGTCAACGCGAACAGCCGGTAAGAACGAGAGCGGGCTTCCAGAAAGGCTACCCTTGCACCCTCCCCCTGCGGCCCGTCGTTGGCCGCTTTCGCTGGCCGCGCCCCCGCTCGAAGAGAATCGGCATGGCCCTCCAAGGCCCTCGCTCGGGGATCTCCTGACCCGGGTCAATCCAGACCCAGGTCAGCAGGAAACCAAAAACTGCAATGCAGGAAAAAAAACTGCAACGCAGGTCTTCGCAAACCCGGGTCGGCCAATATGCGCGGCCGCCTCGCGGCCACGAGCGGCTCGCTAACCCAGGTCAGCCAGAGGGGGTCTTCGCAGGATCCTGCAGGATCCGGTGCCCTGGCTGACCCGCGTTTGCATTGACCCCCGTCTCTCCAGCCCCGACTCGCATCCTCATCGTGCATCCCAGTAGCTTTATGTCGGGCGCGTCCCCCTGCAGGGGGATCTTCGACGAAAAATGATATATATATATATATATACACACACATATATATAATAATAATAATAATAATAATAGTAATAATACTAATAATAAATATATACACATACATATATAAAAAGTTTTTTAAATGTATATACATACATATATATATATATGTATATAGGAAAAAAGAAAAAAAGAAAAACAAAAAAAAAATGTTTGGAGTATTGTTTTATTATTTATGGGATATGTTTCATTTTTCGTCGAAAATCCCCCCGAAGGGGGACACGCCCGACTTAGCGGTAGCGGCTCCCCCTCTGAAGACTGCGCGCCCGCCCCGCCTCGGCACGGCGCACGTGGGCGTCCAGGCCGTCCTCCACGCCCTTGACGCTGCCGCCCAGCTCGGACACGCGGGTGTGCAGCGCCTCGACCTGGGCGCGGGGGAGCGCCGCAGCGAGGCGCGCTCCAAGGGCCCCGCCCCCTCGACGAAGCTCTCCCCGCCATGCCCGCGTCGCAAGACGGAGAAAAAGAACCCGTCGCTGCTGCTTCGCACCCTGTCGCCTCCGGGTGCCCTCGCTGGACCTCGGGGCCGTCGAACAACGGTGCGGGGTGAAGTCGCCCTGCGAAGTAGCCCATCGGTACCAAGGGATAGCAGAAGGTGTGCAGGCAATTGTGCGACAGCAACACTGCAAGAGGCAGCGCACTGCAAAGATGTATATCGTGCGAAGTCTGCGTGGCCGACTCGCAGAACAGAGGTACAACAAAAAGGCCAGGAGGCATTGGACTGGGAAGGTTTACGACCAGGAAGACATCGGGTTGAAAGAACAATCACCTCGGCAGAAGTGGCGAAATGGTAAAGCATGGGCAAGATAGCATTACACTGGCGGAGACGCAACCAAACAATAAAATGCCGCGTTTTTCCATACCGAAATGCTCAACACCTGCGCGTTGTCCTCCTCATCATCCTCGTCCTCCTCCGCTTTTTTTCCTCCGCCTCCTTCTCATCCTCCTCCTCCTCCTTTTCCTCCTTTCCCACCCCTCCTCCTCCAGATCTGCGTGGGACCACCCCACTGTGTTCCGCGCCCAATCACCCTCACAGCTTCAACAGTTTCACACCTCGCAGCCACCCCCAGGGATGGCGAGGTCCTCGAGGTCTGCATGGGACCCCACTGTGGTGCCCCCTCCCCCCTCAAGCAGCCCTCAGAAGTGGCGACATATTTACACTTCGCAGCCCCGCAGAGGTGGCGAGGACCCGTTTGGGTCCGCGTGTGGCCCCACTGTGCGGGCTCACCCAGCAGCCCTCAAAACTGACGACAGGTTCACACTTCGCAGCCCCCCAGAAGTGGCGAGGTCCTGTTTGGGTCTGCGTGTGGCCCCACTGTGCGGGCTCCCCCAGTAGCCCTCGAAAGTTGCGACATATTCACACTTAGCGGCCCCCAAAGGGATGCGAGAGGAGAGAGCAGAGAGGAGAGCGGGGGAGGGCGAGGAGGAGAAGGGAGTCGGCACCCCACTGCTCTATTCAAAACGAGAACCCAACCATGGGCGGGTTGGAGAAAAAACGCATGGGGAAAGGATCGGGACTTCCAAGGACGCGTACTGAAAAGCAGCTCCGAAGAGGCCATCCTTGCACACGGAGCGTGGAGCTCCCAATCTGTGTGTTGCATTATTCGGTCTCAGCTGCGGTAGCATGACGAACCTTTTGCAGAAGTTCAGCTCAGAGAAAGGGGGAGGAGGGGGATGAGGAGAAAGGAGGAGGAGGAGGAGGAGGGAAGAGGGGAGGAAGGAGAGGAAGCCGAGGAGCAGGAGCAGGAGCAGGAGGAGGGGGAGGATGGAAGAGAGGAGAAAGGAGAGGAAGCCGAGGAGCAGGAGCAGGAGCAGGAGGAGGGGGAGGAGGGAGGAGGGAGGAAAGAGGTAGGCGACAACGACGACGACGACGACGACACGACCAAGAATACAAAGAAGAAGACGTCGACGGAAAGTAGGCGGCGGCGGGCGGAAGGAAGAAGGGACGACGACGACGACGACGACGACGACGACGACGACGACGACGACGACGACCGCGGCGGCTGCGGCGGCGGCGGCCGCGGCGGCCGCGGCGGCGGCGACTGCCACGTCGGCAGGCGGCGGCGCGCAACGAGGGGCGGGCGGGGAGGAGGACCCCAGAGACAGAGAGAGAACGTTGTAGATGTCGGCTGTTACTAGAAGTGCCCCTGGCCTTATGTTGTTCCCATCGCACTTAAGGACCACATCCCAGAAATCATTTCGAACACCCCGAAAAGTATCGAAACAGTGGAACGAGTATCGTCTCCCAAGGCCCGACACGCGAAAACCCTCCAGTTTCGGAATGCTTTTGGTGCTCGAAATTCTTTGTGGCGGTCAAGGCTAAAGCAGGTTGGAACATCACAACCCTGGCCCAAGATGCCCACAGGATTTCCAAGGAGGCCCCCACGGCCTCCAGAGCAACACTCACGAGGCCTGGAGGGCCTCAGGCGTTCCAAAATTCATCGAAAAGCTGGGAGTACCAGGGGCACCTTCAGCAACCCCCGAACATGCACCTTCCAGGAGGCGGCCACGTCCACCACCTCCGGAGCCCAGCCCCAGGGCCCCCGAAGAGCGAGGGACGGGGCATGTGTACGGGAACGAAAAATAACATAAACGTAAAAAACTTTGAGGTCCGCGAGGAATTCTTGGATCCGCGCTGGACCCCCCTCCCTGGCGCGCGGCCACGGGACCCCAACGCCGATCCGAGAAATTTGCGTGGACCTCCGAGTTTTCATGTTTCTGTCATTGCTCGTTCCCCTGATGTTGTCTCCCGCTCTGCCGACAAGCTCCCGCCACGACGGCGCGGGCAGGGTCTGTGACCGCGCGCTGGCTGCGTTCAGCCCCGAGACGATCAGATCTCGCGCTGGGTCGGACGGCGCGGGCTGCTCAGCAGGGAACGAGGAAGACAGGCCAGGCAACAAAAACATACAGCGGAGGCCAGCCCACAAGAAACCCAACCCTGAGAGCCTGGGACGCCCATGGATTTTCGCGCGGGAACGTCACGCATGTTCCAATGCAAAACCGTAGAAACCCAAGAAACCCAGGTCACCCTGGAGGCAAGACGGGTGTCTCTTGGCATGGGCCTCCACTGTAGCGTTGGACCCTCCTCGAGGCGGCGCCAAGGGGCGCCGCAGGGGGGCGCCGGCGCCGATCCGAGGAGTCCGCGCGCGCGGACCTCCGAGGCTGTCTGTTCGTGCCCGTTGTTGTTCCCCGAAGTCTGCGCTGTCGGTCCGCAAGAGAGCTTCGGCCCCACCTTGCGTGAAGCCTTCGCGCCGTGGGTGCGTTTCTGCCGTTTGTGCGGGACTGGAGGCTCGAGATGAGTTTTTCGTGGGCGTTCGCAAAGGCCTCCCAGATGGGGTCCGAATAAATGGGGTCGGAGGGTATCGCCGCATCGCCGATGCATCGGCGATGCATCGCCGATGCATCGGCGATGCAGGGGCCATACACTGGCGACGTCGGCGATGCATCGGCGACGTCGGCGTGGAGAAAAATGTGCCCCACATCGAGCCGCATCGTTGACGCATCGCCGATGCATCGGCGGTGCGGCGTGATCCTCCGACCCCATCCACTCCGACCCCTGTAGGAGCCTCAATGATCGACCCTGAACGCCTGAGCCGGCGTCACCGCCGATACGTCCGCCACTCCTCGGGGCCTGGGGCCGCGGCTGCGAAGCAACTGATGCAAAATCGGACCCGCCCCTTCGGCACACCGCGCCGGGAGAGAACGGGGGTTTCTACCGGGTGGCGCCCCCCGGCGAGCACTGTGGCATTGGGAGGGCGGCAGGATCGTGTCGTGGCGACCTTGGCGTTGGCTTCTGGCGCCGCGGGTGTCGTTCAGCCCTGAACGATCGGCGGTGTCCGATACGTCAGATCGTTCCACATTGACACACTTTGGGCGGCCAGCGGCGTCCAACAAAGAACGCCGGCGGCGGGGTCGCCGCTGGTCGACGCGGCGCGAACCTACCGCATCCGAACGCGTTGACCGCCCTTCTCTACCCAATCCCCACCTCATTCCCCCCATCCCCACTCCAGGCAACCGCTGTCAATCTTTGGAGATTCGTCGATACGTGACGCAGGCGCGGGGGGCCCTACGGAAGGAACATGTTTAGCCGATCGTGAAAATAATGAACCGATCGATGGACGGCGAGGCTCTCACGACTGCAAAGGCGGCTCTGCAATGCCCGGCGGAGCCCCTCCCCCCCAAAAAAGACACCGGCAGAAGACTACAAGACCTCAGCCGCCCAAGAAAACCACAGAAACCCAATCCCCCACCTTTTTCCCCCCCGTCCTCGGCGTCATCGACGTCGCCGAGCGTCGCCGAGGGCCGTCGTCGTCGTCGGAAAGAAAGGAGCACCACAGGGCGAAGGAGGAGGGGAAGAGGGATGAGAAAAGAAGAAAGAAGAAGAAGAAGAAGAAGCAGAAGAAGAAGAAGCAGAAAAAGAAGAAACAGAAGAAGAAGAAGAAGAGCGGCCTCGGGGGGCGGAGTCTGCATCCCGCAATATCATGAGCCCCAGCCGTCGCCCGCACTCAGCGGGCGCATTCCCGCAGCACACGGCAACGCGCATGCCGAGGTCGACGCCGACCATGGCGTAGATAGATCGGCCTCCATATCTGGAGCCACAGCCCTGCAAGCCAGGCGGCCAAATCATCCCCAAGGATTCCCGCCCGCGCCTTGCCCTCCTTACCACTGCGCCAACTTGAAAGAGGGCTCTGCGGAAGGTGCCCCTGCGATGATGCGCACTTGTTCTGCTCGCCCGTCGGGCCCCCCCTCGTTCTCCACGTCCGACCCGGCGCCCTGCTCGATGGAGAGGGTGAACTTCGCAACGTTAGAGTCGTAGCATTTGCTGATTCGGATGCGCCTGGCCTTGCGCGACACCGTCGCTGCGGTGATCTCGCGCCGGAACTGCCCAGGCCCCGCGAGAACTGCTCGAGCCCCCCGCCCACGTCCTCGGCGCAGAGGGCCCGCGCGAACGCCATGTAAAGGTGGCCCCCATGGTGGCCCCACTGCGCGCCCCCCCCCCCCTGCCCCCATCGCACATGTCCGCGTTGATGTTCCTGCAAGTCTTGAGCGCCTTGATCGGGCCGCCCTGCGCGGACTTGAGGACGTCGCCCACGCATAATACGGAGGCTGAGAGGTCGATCACGTTGTGAGCGACGGGGAAGACAGCGGCGAACCGCTCTGAGCCCTGCACGGTATCACCCAGCAAGTGGCCCACTGGCTGCTCGCATACAGGATGGAAAGAAGTTAGCCCAGTGCTGCATCCAGGCACAACTCCAGGTCACACAGCGGAATCACCAGACTCGTTGAAGCCGTCGGTCTTGACAGCGGCGCACTTGCATCGTTGAACGCTGAGCGTCCTGTCAAGCACGCGGGCAATACTTGCGCAGCTTCGCCGATCATGGCGCAGGGGAACGCGTCGGCGGCGCCCTAGCTGCACGCGATGAAATCGAGATGCGTTCTCTGGAGTCTGGATGAACACGTTGTCCTGGAACTGAGGGCCATGCGCGCATCTTGTCGAGCGCGAATCTCCGGCTGCGACGAGCATTCAGCGGAGCAGGGCCGATCCTGTAGGCGTGATCTAGAATACATTCAAAGCATGCGTCTATCCACGGCGCCGCGATCAACTCCTCGTTGCACCCGAGGCCCAGGGTCTGCGGCCCCCTCTTCGCGGCGGCCGTCGGCTGCAGGATGACCTGGAATGTCCCTGCTGGGAGCGACCACTCAAGAACCAATGCCCGCGTGTCGATATGCCTCAGGCGCTTCTTGGCACCGTAGAAAAAATACTGGCGCTGTCCATCGCGTCGCAGCATGCCGCCGCGAGCTGCTGTTCGAGCTCGTCGTCGAAGTCCCCGGCGCTTTCCTGGAGTAGGCGTTTCCTTCACCGAGGTCGACAGGCAGGGCCCGACGTCCTCCTCGCGCGCCAGCCCGGGGCACATGTAGCGCGCAGTCTGCGAGACTAGATCTTGAACGCGTAGCTCTGCTGTAGCTGCGGTTCCGCTTGCCACGATTGGTGCCCGCCACGTACCTGTTGAGCCGATGCACTTCTGCATCATGCCTTTTTTGGTCGTGCGTCGAATATCCGCGCCTGGAGAGATAGTTTCCTTCCCGCGTCGTGGAGTTGCTGCTGCGTCGTGATAGCCCGAGTGAGAAGGTCCATCCTTTCTCCTATGTCCACGTCATGGAGTGCGCCAATGTACTGATTCCATGGTTCTGCGCGCTTCTGTAGTAATGCCAGTTGTTCGGCCATGGGCTGCTTGCTGGCGCCTGTCTTCTTTTCCTTGCGCTCGAAGAAGGGCTTGGCAGTGGACTTGCGGGTCTCTATCAGGCAGGCGCAGCGCGCGCCCGTCGTGCTCATAGCCTTGAACTCGCGCATGGCCCCGACAATGTCCTCCAGTGCGCTCCCGGGCGCTGCGGTGAACTCTGCACGGTTCGCACCTGTCTGCAGGGAATCTGCAATTTTGCCATAATCCCCAGAAGTGCGCTGCAGATATGTAAAACTGTGCGACCTGATGATCTCTGCACACAAGATGAGAAGCAAATGGTCGCGAGGCACGTTGCCCTTCGTGCGCTGAACTGCTATCGGTGCGTTCCACCAAACCCCACACGACTTAAGATGAGCAAGGAGTCCTTGTGGAGCACCGAGGTAGCCACGTCTAGAAACGTGGCCTTCACTGCCGAAGTAGGTGGGTCCAATGTTCGCAAGACACATGCCATGTACGCCCATCATGTTGTAGAAGGCAGCTGCTGTCTCCTGCCCGTTTCGAATGCTTGCGCATCCCCGAAGACATGGCTGTTCTCTGCTACTACACGCCCGTCCTCTCTGTAGTGGTCGTTGAATTCCAGGCCTATGGGAGATGCTGCGCGTAAGTGCAGCGCTGGGAGAACTGCTGGTACACTCCCTGACCGAGGAAAAGGGGCAGGCAACCATGAACGTTAGGTCGGGCTCGCCACTCTTGAAGCGGAGAGCACCTGCTCGTCCTTGAATCAGTTTAGGCGGGCTCTCGATGTCAACAACTGCGCGGGGCCCGGACCAGTTCTGATTGACCAAGATAGCGACACCAGCGTGACTGTCGGCGAGAGGTCTTCTGCCACAGCACCACGTGTAGAAAGTGTGGTTCATCGACTGGAGCTGGTCATTCTTGGAGCTACTGTCGTGCTGGCGCCTGCGCGCCGCTGGAGGACTCATCACCGCAACGGCGCTGAAAGAGGTGTCTGGTCTCGAAGCAACGGTGCGGGGCCTGCATGGACAGCGGGTGGTACACCCCCCCTCTGCGAAACGGACGCCAGCCAGCCAGCCAGCTTGGCACGACATGGACGCCAGCCAGCTCGGCACAACAGCCAGTTTGGCACGACATGGACGCCAGTCAGTTTGGCACGACATGGACGCCAGCCAGCTTGGCACGACATGGATGGCGCCCTGGGCGGGCGGAAACTGCTCTGCGCGGAGCGCCTGCTGGGCCGCTAAAGGTTTGGCCTGAGCAGAGGCGGCGGCTGGGAGGGATGAGAGACGGGAGGGGGAGGGGGGCGGAGGGAGGAGGAGGAGGAGGAAAAGGAGAAGGAAAAGGAGGAGGTGGAGGAGGGAGGAGGAGGAGAAGGAGGAGGAGGAGGAGAACGGGAGGAGGAGGAGGAGGAGGAGGAGGAGGATGGAGGAGGAGAGAGAGGAGGAGGATGAGGAGGAGAGAGAGAGAGGAGGAGAGAGAGGAGATAGGGCGAGGGAGGAGAAGAGGAGGATGAGAAAGGAGAAGGGATGATGAGGAGGAGAGACGAGGGGGAGAACCAGGGGGAGGGGGAAGGCGACAGCGACGACGACAACGACGACAGCAGCGACGACAACTTCGACGACGACGACGACGACGACGACGACGATGACAATGACGACGAGGACGACGACGAGGACGACAACGACGACGACGACGACGACGGCGGCGGCGGCGACCCGACGACAAGATTAAAAGAAAAAAAAAAAAAAACGCCGACGGAGAGGCGGCCGCAGGCGGCCTGGGCTCGCAGCGGCCGCAGTGCGCTGTCCAAGAGGCTCTCCTGCTGGTCCTGCGCCGCCGCCGCCCCGCGCCCAGGATGAGACACGCCTCCACCTCCTCCGCCTCCTCCTCGTCCTCCTCCTCCTCTCCTCCTCCCCGTCCTCCTCCCCTTCCTCCTCCTAATCCTCCTCCCCTTCCTCCTCCCCTTCCTCCCCCCCCTCCTCCTCCGTGTCCTCCTCCCCGTTCACCTCCTCTTCCTCCTCCTCCTCCTCCTCGTCCTCCTCCTCCTCCTCATCATCATCATCATCAGCATCATCATCATCAGCATCATCATCAACAGCAGCATCAGCATCAGCATCAGCATCAGCATCAGCATCAGCATCATCATCATCATCATCATCATCATCATCGTCAGCATCAGCATCAGCATCATCATCATCAGCATCATCATCATCATCATCATCAGCATCATCATCATCATCATCATCATCATCGTCATCATCAGCATCATCATCAGCATCCTCAGCATCATCAGCATCATCATCATCAGCATCATCAGCAGCGACAGCATCATCATCCGCATCATCCTCATCGTCATCATCATCATCATCATCATCATCCTCATCATCATCATCAGCATCAGCATCAGCATCATCATCATCAGCATCATCAGCATCATCATCAGCATCCTTTTCCTCCTCCTCCTCCTGCCCCTCATCCTCCTCCTCCTCGTCTCATCCTCTTCCTCCTCCTCCTCGTCTCCTCCTCCTCATCCTCCTCCTGATCTTCCTCCTCCTCCGCCTCCTCCTCGTCCTCTTCCTCCTCCCCCTCCTCCGCCTCTGCCTCCGCCTCCCCCTCCGCCTTCACATCCGCCTCCGCCTCCTCCTCATCATCCTCCTCGTCCTCTTCCTCCTCCTCCTCCTCCTCCTCCTCCTCCTCCTCCTCCCCTTCCTCAACTTCATCATCCCTTTCCTCCTCCCCTTCCTCATCCCCTTCCTCATCATCCTCCCCGTCCTCCTCCCCGTCCTTCCCTTCCTTCCCCCCTTCATCCTCACATTCCTGCTCCCATTCCTCCTCCCCCTCCTCCTCATCATCATCCTCCTCCGCCTACGCCTCCTCCTCTCCTCCCTCCTCCTCCTCCTCCTCCGCCTCCTCCTCCTCCGCCTCCTCCTCCTCCTCCTCCCTCCTCCTCATCCCTCCCTCCCTCCTCCCCTCCCTCCCTCCCTCCCCTCCCTCCCCTCCCTCCCTCCCTTCCCTCCTCCCTCCCCCTCCTCCTCCTCCTCCGCCTCCTCCTCCTCCTCCTCCTCCTCCTCCTCCTCCTCCCTCCTCCTCCTCCTCCCTCCTCCTCCTCCTCCTCTCCTCCTCCTCTCCCTCCCTCCTCCTCCTCCTCCCCACCTCCTCCTCCTCCCACTCCTCCTCCTCCTCACCACCACCACCATCATCCTCCTCCGCCTCCTCCGCCTCCGCCGCCTCATCCTGCTCCCCTCGTCCTCCTCCTCCTCCTCTTCTTCTCATGCGTTTCTGTAATTCTCGTATTAGTATTACAAGTATCAGCATCCTCATTAGTGTTACGACTAGTCTTGGCGCTTCGCGTATCCCCACCAGTTTGTTTTCTTTCGCCGCCTGCGCGCTCGCTGGTGGCCGCGACCAAAAAAACATATCCCCACCAGCCCATCCAGACACGATTACCAGGTGAGTTGGTTAGTCAGGGACGCCTGGCAGCACGCGGTCGCGCAGCTGTTTTGGAAGCGTCGAAACAGGGTGGGCAGCACCCTGGGCCAGGAAACAACGATCACAAATGGTTCGGCGCAGTTAAGTTTAGGACAGAAATCAGCGCAAGATGCGCACTGGTGTTCTCTGTGGTAAATGTCTCTGGCGCAAGTTGCTGTATGCACGATCCGACATCCGTGTTGTGCGCAGATTTGGGCACGAGGTTTCGCAACCGCCTTGGGAGCGTGTTGGAAGGGGCGCAGAAGCTGCACATAGACACCGCCGTGCGCACAGGCATTCTTGTTTTCAAAACTGGGGGGCCGTAACTCGGGCCAGAAAAAACAAGGATCACACATAGCTTCCCCCACTGAAGTTTGATATGGAAATTAGTGCGAGATACGCCGTCAGGTTCCCTATGGTAAACGTCCATCCAGAAACGATTACCAGGTGAGTTGGTCAATCAGGGACGCCTGGAAGCACGCGGTCGCACAGCTGTTTTGGAAGCGTCAAAACAGGGTGGGCCGTACCCTGGGCCAGAAAATCAGGACCTTCGCGAAGTGAAGTTTAAGACAGAAGTCAGTGCAAGATGCGCCATGGTGCTCCCTTTGGCAAGCGTCTCTGGCGTAGGTTCCTGTATCTACGATCCGACGCCAGCGGCGCGCAGATTAGAGTCGCATCTCGATGGACATCCTTGATCTTAACCCTTGCACTGATTTCGGGGATGGACAGACCTCCCTTTAGTAAAACGTGGTTTAGCGAAAACGACCTGAGGCTCAAACCTGGTGGGCGCAAGCCTGGAAAATAACGGCCACGGCGCCCTCTCGAGAACCGAAAACGGACAATTCACGAATCGACGTGTCACTGTTGGGAGTTCTATCCTATCCCCCCCCGATGAGTTGTATCTTAAACTCGCGTGCGTTTCGAAATTGCTCTGGTGCTGGTGCTGCTGCCGGTGCTGCTGATGATGCTGTTGCTGGCGCTGCTGTTGTTGATGCTGGTGCTGATGTTGCTGCTGCTGGTGTTTGTGCTGCTGCTTGTGGTGCTGCTGCTGCTGCTGGTGCTGCTGCTGGGGCCATCTTGGGGGTAGGAGGAGAAAGAGGAGGAGGAGGATGAAAAAAGGAGGAGGACGGGGAAGAGGAGGAAGAGCAGGAAAGCGGCACGGGGAGGATGAAGAGGAGGAGGGAGGAGGCAGGAAGGGAGGAAGAAAGGCGCGGATGTCCCACGGCAGCTTGATTGGCAACACCGGTGAGTTGAGAGAGCTCTTGTAGCGAAGGGTGTCGGGCTGTAGTTACTGGTATCGTTGGTGTTGTCGTTGTAGTTTGTGCTTATGGTACCGCTGCTGCTGGTGTTGATGCTGGTGATCCTGATAGTGCTGCTGGTGCTGGCGATGCCTGGGACCATCTTGGGGGTAAGAGGAGGAGGAAGAGGAGGAGGAAGAGGAGGAGCAGGAGGACATACAGGAAAGGAGGAGGGGACGATGACAAGGAGGACGAGAAGTCGGGCTCAGGGGATATATTGTGGTGAGGGTTTCTTCGAAGCGTCGTAATGCCATTTTGGCGCCATCTTGGAGCCCTCTTGGGGTCCTCTTGGGGCCTTCGTGGGGCCCTCTTGGGGCTCATTTGGGGAGTCTTGGAGCCCTCTTTGGGCTCTTTGGGGAGGCTTGGGAGGCCTCTTGGGGCCGTCTTGGGCCCCATGGCTAAAAAAGAAGGGGGGACCAATTCCCGTCGCCCCCTCGGAGGCTCACAAATGCTGTCTTGGAGCCGTCTTGGGCCGTTCTTGGAGCGTTCTTGGCCGCTCTTGGGGGCCGTCTTGGGGCCCTCTTGGGCCCATCTTGGGGCTCTCTTGGGGCCACGTTGAGGATGCCAAAGCCCATCGGAAGCGAAAAGGCGAGAATGCCTGAAACATTGATTCTCCTGAGGCTTTTGAAGGATTTTGGCATCTTGGAGGGTGCCGTTGAAGGCTCGAAGGAGAGGCCCGAACTGGCGCACCGCGCACCGCACTACGGCGCGCGAACCGCAGCGCCGTGACGCCAGCAGCACGGCGGAGCCGGTTCCGCCTAACAGTGGGGGCCAGTCCGCAAGAATCCTTCCACGGGAAACCCAACCCTGAGACCACAGGATGTCCGTTGATTCTCGGTGTGGAAACGTCGCGCCTTCCAAATCATAGCCATGCACACCCAGGAAACCCAGGGCACCCTGGAGGCAAGCAGGGCGTTTCTTGGCATGGGTCTCCACTGAAGCGGATCTGGCCACGCCCTGGCCTTGAAGATGGCCCCCAGGCTCGCGCGAGTGGCCGGTGGGAGGCCGCCCGCCGCCCGGCGCCTCCTGCGGAGCTCTTGCCGGGGCAAGAAGGCGTGGGGCCCCCCGGGGCACCACGAGCCCTCGACCCAAACCCTCTCCCCCTCCCCCTCCCTCAATCCTCCTCGTCCTTCTCGTCCTCTTCGTCCTCCTCGTCCTCCTTCTCCTCCTCTCCCTCCTCCCGCCCCTCCCTCCTCCTCCTCCTCCCTCCTCCTCTCCTCCTCCACCCTCCTCCTCTCGCCCTCCTCCTCCTTCCTCCTCCTCCTCCTCCTACTCCTCCTCCTCCTCCTCCTCCTCCCTCCTCCTCCTCCTCCTACTCCCCTCCTCCTCCCTCCTCCTCCTCCTCCTCCTCCTTCCTCCCTCCTCCCTCCTCCCTCCTCCTCCCTCCGCCTCCTCCTCCCCCTCCTCCGCCTCCTCCTCCTCCTCCTCCTCCCTCCTCCTCCTTCCTCCGCCTCCTCCCTCCTCCTCCTCCTCCTCCTCCTCCTCCTCCCTCCTCCTCCTCTCCTCCTCCTCCTCTCCCGCCCTCCTCCTCCTCCTTCCTCCTCCTCCTCCGCCTCCTCCCCCTCCTCCCCCTCCTCCTCCTCCTCCTCCTCCTCCCTCCTCTCCTCCTCCCTCCTCCTCCTTCCTCCTCCTCCTCCTCCTCCCGCCTCCTCCTCCTCCTCCTCCTCCTCCGCCTCCTCCTCCTCCTCCCCTCCTCCTCCTCCTCCTCCCTCCTCCTCTCCTCCTCCTTCCTCCTCCCCTCCTCCTCCTCCTCCCTCCTCCCCCTCCTCCTCCTCCCGTCCTCCTCCTCCCTCCTCCTCCTCCTCGCCTCCTCCCTCCCTCCTCCCTCCTCCTCCTCCTCCCCTCCTCCGACTCCCCTCCTCTCCTCCTCCCTCCTCCTCCTCCTCCTCCTCCCTCCTCCTCTCCTCCTCTCCCCTCCTCCTCCTCCCTCCCTCCTCCTCCTCCTCCTCCTCCTCCTCCCGCTCCTCCTCCTCCTCCTCCCTCCTCCTCCTCCTCCCTCCCTCCTCCTCCTCCTCCCCTCCTCCTTTCCTCCTCCTCCTCCTCCTCCTCCTCCCTCCTCCTCCTCGCCTCCTCCTCCTCCTCCTCCTCCTCCTCCTCCCTCCTCCCTCCTCCTCCTCCTGCCCCTCCTCCTCCTCCTCCTCCTCCTCCTCCTCCCCACAGGCGATGTCCGCGACCCTGCGGTCCCACGCCGCGCGGCGGACTGCTGGGATCCGCGCGGCGGCCGCCCAGGGCTCGACGGAGGAGTGGAGGCGGGGCCTGCACCGCAACGCGACGCCCCGGGATGCACGGGCAGCATCACGGCGTGCACACCGCGGCGCGCTGGCAGGCGCTGCAAGTGCAACGAGGCGGCACAGGACTCCTCTGGAGGGGAGGGGGGGGGCCACCAGGACCCCGCCCCAGGTGCCAGGACGCCTGCCACGCAAGATTCATGGGGGCTCGACCACACAAAAAGTAGCTCGGCCGCTGCAGTCTCCCACCCCCCACGCCTTCCCCGCGCGCGGGAAGGCACAAGGCGACGATGCCTCTGGAGGCGGGTGGCCACCAGGACCCCGCCACAGTCGCCAGGACGCCATCAGAGAGCTGCGGGAACACCAGCGCGAACGCGCTGAGCAAAGCGACGGGGAGCGCGGGACGGCTCGGCACGTCAAGCAGCGCGAAGTGAACCCCACACTCCTCCTCAGAAATCGTGGGGGATAGGGGTAGTGTTCGCATGTGGCTCCCTATACCAGCGGACAGATGTGTCGTAAAGGGTTGCTCGGAGGCCGCCAGATGGCGGGCTCAAGGTTAGAGCCAATATGGAGGGCTACCTGCAACGACCTCCCCCTCCTCCTCCTCCTCCTCCTCCTCCTCCTCCTCCTCCTCCTCCTCCTCCCCCTCCTCCACCTCCTCCTCCTCCTCTGCCTCTTCCTCAACCTCCTCCTCCGCCTCCTCCTCCTGATCGTCCTCGCCCTCGCCCAACCCATCCTCCCTCCCCTCCTCTGTTCTGCCAGCTTGCCAGCTGTTGTCCACCGGTGGCGTCCTGGATCCGCTGCACCTGCCGGTTGAGGCGCTCCTCGACGGCGGACAGCTCGCTGCGAGCGTACGCCTCGGAGGGACGAGAGACGAGCGGCACGACAGAGAGAGACAGAGGGGGGGAGGGATGAGAGGACAGGCGGGCAGGACGAGCGGGGGTAGGAGGGAGGGAAAGAGCGAGAAATAGAGAAAGGGAGGGGAGACGGAGAAGAGACAGACAGACAGAGAGGCCTCATGCTGACGCTGCTGCTGCTGCTGTTCCTGCCGCCTCCCTCCTCCTCCTTCTGTACCTCCTTCTCCTCCTCCTCCTCCTCCTCCTCCTCCTCCTCCTCCTCCTCCTCCATCTCATCATCATCAGAATCATCATTATCCTCATCAGCATCCACATCCTCATCCTCATCCTCGTCCTCCACATCCTCCTCATCATCATCAGCAGCACCATCACCAGCATCATCCTCATCATGAGCAGCAGCATCATCATCATCGGCAGCAGCAGCACACTCAGCATAGCATAATCATCAGAATCAGCAGCAGCATTATAATCAGCAGCAGCAACATCATCAGCATCAGAATCAGCAACAGCAGCATCATCATCATCATCATCAGCAGCATCATCATCAACGTCATCATCAGCATAATCAGCATCAGCAGCATCATCAACATCAGCATCAGTAGCATCATCATCAGCAGCATCATTATTATCAACAGCATCAGCAACATCATCATCCTCAGCAGCAGCAGCATAATCATCATTAGCATAAGCATCATAATCAGCATGTGCAGCATCATCATCATCAGCAGTAGCATCATCATCATCATCATCATCATCATCATCATCATCATCAGCAGCAGCAGCAGCAGCAGCAGTAGTATCGTCATCATCAGCAGCATCATCACCATCATCAGCAGCATCAGCATCAACATCAACATCAACATGAGCTACATCCTCATCATCATTATCCTCATCATCAGCATCAGCACCAGCATCATCCTCATCATCATCATCATCATCATCATCATCATCATCATCATCATCATCAGCATCATCATCATCATCATCATCATCATCATCATCATCATCATCATCATCATCATCATCATCATCAGCATCGGCATCGGCATCGTTGTCGTCGTCGTCACCACCAGCATCACCAGCACCAGCATCAGCATCAGCATCGACATTAACATGAGCATCAGCATCAGCATCATCATCAACACCACCATCCTCGTCATCGTCAACATCAGCATCCTCAAAATCATGATCATCGCCATCATCATCATCATCATCATCATCATCATCATCATCATCATCATCGTCATCATCATCGTCATCATCGTCATCATCGTCATCATCGTCATCATCGTCATCATCATCATCATCACTCGTCCGTCCTTCTCCTGCGAACGCATCGGATTCACAACATGAAACGTGCTGGGAGGCACGATGGTGCCACGGAACTGCCTCCCGCTGCTCTCCCGCCAGCAGCCCATGCACAAGACGTGTGGTTCTTCACGGGCGGCCGTGGCAGCGCACGCGCACGCGAACCAAAAAGGAACCGCTCGCACGAAAGCCCCGTGCCCCGGCGTCAGATCCGCAGGAGCGGAACAAAAATGCCTACAGCAGGTTCGTGTCGTGACGACTCCAGCGGTGCTGTCTGACGTCGCGAGGAGCGCTCCATCTTGGACGATCGGCGCTGTCCGATCTCCAAATGGTTCTATACATCGACCCTGGGCCTCCAGCGGCGTCGTGATGTGGTCCGTGGCGGGGAGGGTACGGCAGGTTCGTGTCGCGACGACTTTGGCGTTGGTCTCTGACGCCGTGTGGATCGTTCAACCGTTGAACGAACGGCCGCATTTCAATCGGCAGATCGTTCCATGTCGGAGCATGCTGGGCCCATGGCGGCGTTCAACCTTGAACGCCCGTGGCAGGGTCTCCGCCGCGTCGACACGACGCGAACCTATCACTAGGTCGGGCATCTCCTCCTACAGGCGGATTTTTGACGAAAAACAAAAGATAGTCAAAACATATTCTAAAACCATGATATACTCGAAAAACGCCACCAGGCCAGACTATGTTTGGACTATGTTTGAATATTCCTCCTGTAGAGGGACGTGCCCGACTTGATCGTAACGATCTGCGCACGGTGCCCTCGAGCTGGGTGGTGCTCCGCCGGCCGTCCGCAGGAGAGGCTAGCGCCGCTGCTGGCGCTGACGCGGCTGGGATCGCGGACGCATGCCGCTGGCCCAGCCTGCCAGAGACGGCGCGCGATGCAGGCAGCCTTCAGGCTGCGGCGGAATGCGAAGCACAGATCCAGGCGAACGTCTCTGTTTCCCGCGCTCACAGGATGAGCGAGGACCTCGCGACCATCTGCGATGGGTGTCTCTCGTGCCCCGCACTGCCTGAGGCGTCGGGGAAGGAGGGCTCGGCCTCCGCAACGCTGCAAGCGGCGGAGGGAGCGAAAGCCCTGGCAGGAATGTCTACAGACTCGAGGAGCGAACGTCTCTGAGGTGACCCCTGGTAATGATGAGATTATGCTGCATCCTCGGGGGACCTTGTCTGTCCCGTCGACGCCCCCTATCCGCGTCAAATGCGCATCGAATCCATGTCGGACTCGTCGGATCCGTGTCGCATCTGTGTCGAAACCGCGTCGGATCCACGCCCAGTCCGCGTCGAGTCCGCATCGAACCCGCGTCGGGCACAAGAGAAGACACCAACTTGGGGGACAGGCGAGGCCCCCCGAAGATGCGGCGCAGATGAGGCTCAGGTGACGATCTGGACGCGCAGCAGGCGCACCTCTGCCTCGCGGCCCCTGGCGGACCTCGCCCCTGCGGCCGGGGAGCGCCGAGCGACCCGGCGGCCTCAGACGCGACGCGGCTCCCGGTGGCCAGCGGCAGCCTCGACACCCCGCGTTGGGTGCGCGCGGGCGGGCGGCCTGCGGCGCCGACCCGGGCCTCCACGGCCTCGCCGAAGCGAAGTGTGCTCCGCGACGGGAGGAGGCGGCCGCACCCGCCGCCAGCCAGGCCGCTCCCCCGCTTCCACGAGGATCGTCAGATTGGCCGGCGCCCCACGGCGGGGTGGCTGGCGGGCACTGGCGAGCCACCGTTGGAGCGGGCCGGGCCGAGCTACAAGCAGCGCCTGCCGACGCCGACCCGCACCGCGTGCCGCCTCGCGTGCGGAGGTCTCTACCCGGCTGCCGAGGACACCTCCCAGCTCTCCGAGGCTGCGACACCTGCGGACCGGGCGCTCGCCGCAGATGGCGAGACGGCAACTGTCTTACCAGCCTGGAACATATCCCTATCCCTATGCTGGGCATCTCCTCATCACGATGCCAATCTCAGGGACTCCCTTATTTTGGCGTGTCAATCTGAGGGATAGGGATAGGGATAGGGATAGGGATAGGGATAGGGATAGGGATAGGGATAGGGATAGGGATAGGGATAGGGATAGGGATAGGGATAGGGATAGGGATAGG